TTAACAGTAGTATTTCTATATCACTCTACAATTGATGTATTGAGCACTATTTTAACAGTGGTATTTCTATATCGCTCTACAATGATGTATTGAGCACTATTTTAACAGTGGTATTTCTATATCTCTCTACAATTGATGTATTGAGTACTATTTTAACAGTGGTATTTCTATATCTCTCTACAATTGATGTATTGAGTACTATTTTAACAGTGGTATTTCTATATCTCTCTACAATTGATGGATTGAGTACTATTTTAACAGTGGTATTTCTATATCTCTCTACAATTGATGTATTGAGTACTATTTTAACAGTGGTATTTCTATATCTCTCTACAATTGATGTATTGAGTACTATTTTAACAGTGGTATTTCTATATCTCTCTACAATTGATGTATTGAGTACTATTTTAACAGTGGTATTTCTATATCTCTCTACAATTGATGTATTGAGTACTATTTTAACAGTGGTATTTCTATATCGCTCTACAATGATGTACTATTTAAATAGAAGAAATAGTTTGTTATTATTGTAAATAAACATTTGCAAACGATGCTGTTTTTCAGTGCAGTAGATGTTAATGTTTTATTAATACCAGCGGCCTGATACTGCAGATAGTTAGTTTTAAAGGGATAGGTGGACCATGTTTTTGACCGATAATACTCTAGTCTCAGAAAAGGGAAGGTTAATTGGTAATAGTGTCCACATCTCACCTTCCAAATTTGAGCCTTCAAATCTATCTGTGTCCAGAATTATTCACGTTTTAATGTTAAAATGACGACTCGTCAATTTAAGATATTCTGTGATATATATTAAATACATGTACAGAAATAATGAGTAAAATTCTTAGTTGAAGATATTTTTAAAGGAATTATGTGATTTTCGTAAATTTCTAGTACTTCTGAAGACTATTTACATATATTCAAGACTAAAATCAACCCCACAAAATGCCACAACCGTTCCTTTTAAGGGATTGTAAAGTATTTCTTTCTGTGTATCGGAGATCGATTTTCAGCATTCCTATTTTCAGTCAGATTCCACTAAATACACTAAACGTTTAGCAAACCTCCTCCTGTAACTTACACGTTTCGATAGAGTCAAGTTTCACTTCTTCCAATTGGCATGCATAGCCTGATTTTAAGTAAGACGTGTTTGTGAATAATCAACTTACTAAATATTCATGAGGATTACCTTATGAATACCAATCACTAATTAACATATTTATTATGTAATTAGTTATCAAGCATTTATGATACGTACACCCATATGGCTCAACATGTTAAAAGCGTTCGCCTTGTCATTGATGCAGGTTGGAGGTTCTGACATGGAAAAATTACATGTACTAGTCTTTCGACTGTGACAAAAAAACGAAACCCTTTGTGCTACAAGATGTGCACGTTAAAGATCCGTCTATATTTGAAAGCGATAAGAAAGCTATATGCCGCTGTCTTGACAAATTTTCTTCATTTCACACTGCATGGCGTTACCGGCCTTCATTTAGGTACAGAAAAGTAGGACTAAAACTAAACGCCTAATTGCAAAGAAATGTTTTCTTTAGTTTACTCCGTTTTTAATTAACCCTTCTAAAACAAATTCAGTTTGATCATGTAAATAGCAAAATTGAGAAATTTTTTCAGGTATATAATTTACGAAGTTTTGATTATGAAAATTTGGCATTAAGGAATCACTCGGTCCGAAATTGTTCACTTTGAAAACTGATATAATAAAAACAACGAAGTATGCTGCTTTTGGTCCTAGATGAAGGGTTCAAGGTCCAGTGATGCTGTAGGAGGGGCTGACATGGAAAAAGCGTCGTTCGGGTGGACAATAAACGGAGGCCCCGTGTTCTACGGGCTGTACACCTTAAAGATCCCTCGACAAATAGAAAATCGAAAAATAGTAGCCTAATGCCGCTGTCCTGGAAAAATATCCCTCATTGCACCCTGCATGGCGTTGTCCGTTAGCCCACATAGACTTAGTCGTAGGGCCCCATTCCCCTAGGATAGAATTCAGTATACAATATTTATACTTCGGGGAAGGGATGTATAACGTTAACATAAGCCATGTAACGTTGTGTGAAAGACCGGGGAAATGATCCATACTAAACAGAGTGGGAATCGATACCTAAAAGATTTTATTTCAAGAGTGTCCTCGATTCAATTCTCAAGGCTTAAAGAGGCTGTGAAGAGTTTTCTAAACTTTTTTATGTGAATAAGAAAAGTGATATCATCAATTATTATTTGAATTATTCAAATTGTCTCCGGTTGTTGCAATTCCACTAAAACCCAGCGTTTTTATGACGTAGCTATGGCAAAACCCATGTGATATTATTAGCAGCTTTAGCAATAGTGACGTCAAATACACTTTAAGAGCATTTCTATAATTTCGGAAACAACAGACATCTGACGTTAAAACCCCGGAATGATCCAGCAAATCTGTGCTATCAGTATTCCTGATAAACATAAAAAGCTAGAAATCCTCTTTATTACACCTTTAAAAGTTGCATAGATAAACATAATATTGGTCGAGGACTAGCTTATTGACTATAAGGTTTCAAATTACCCTGCTCGAGAGTTTGCCTCAGTCTACCTCGTTTAAAAATAACAGTCTTATTAAAATTAGACCAAACTTTAACATTTTTCAGACCGCTTATTCAAATTTCCAAATGAAGTATTTGTTCCATCCTAGGCTTCTACATTTGGCAGAATCAAACTCTCCCTATCCCAAATTAAATGAGACTGCTAAGCATTTCACATCTTTTATAATAATAGGTCTTGATGACAATATGTAATAGTATATCACAGATCTTAAGGATTATTATCGCCCCGCTTTCCATCTCAGAAATTTCGCGTGAAAATGCCCTTCTCTTTGGATTAAAGTTCGGAGTGTTCCCACTTTGCCGGCAGATTATAAGGATTAAGTCTAATCAAATGTCATTGCATTGGGTAATTAAGGTAATCTTCCAAGATAATCCACAAACAATTTCCAAATGATAACTATATTGACCATATGATACATTTATAATTTGATTTTATTTTCATATACATCATATTATAATATCAAACATTACAAGTCAACCAAATGGGAGACGGCATCTCCATATTGGATCATCGTCTTGCAGTTAAGGAGACAGGCTTTAAGACGTCCTAGTTCATGCTCTCTTCTCGGGGCGTTGCTTACCACCAGACCTGAGCTGACTGATGGTAACTTCTGTCATGGATTGTTCTGCTTTGGTGATAAAATTGAAGATGATGGGATGTTCATTCTTGTGTGCCACACATGATATCGTGTGAAAATGGTTCCACATACTTCTTTCTTCACCCTCGACTCACTGTTCAGTAATATAATCCGCAAACTTCAAAACTGAAAGGTCTTCCACATTAGCAGCCTTAAGGACATTGAGCCTGTAATCGTCGATGTCTTCTGGTCTTAGTAGTGAAAGGGCAGAAGCTCTCCTCGCAAACCAGTCTCGCAAACCAGTTCACTTTCTAAGTTGTTTGCAAACCACACTTCTGAACATTGCGCCAAACTGCTTGTCGATAGTGAAAGAGACACCCTTTCAGTTCACAGTCAAAAACATTTACACAGCATTCTGGGCAGCCTCGGTAAAGAGGGTTCTTGGTCTTAGGTGCAGTTGGTGGTTTTCAGCATTCTGTTGGAAGATAGCGAAAAAGAGCTGAATTCTTGTTGGGCAAGAGGGCATACACTACATTACTGTGAACATATTGTGACTTTATAACTGTGAACATACCGTGACTTTATATGACTGTGTACATATCGTGACCACATTACAGTGAACATACAACGACATATTTCTGTGAACATACCATAACTACATTACTGCAAACATACCGTGACTTTATAACTGTGAACATACCGTGAATGTATTACTGTGAACATACCGTGACCATATTCTAGTGAACATACAGCGACTTTATTACTGTGAACATACAATAACTACATTACTGCAAACATACCGTGACTTTATAACTGTGAACATACCGTGAATGTATTACTGTGAACATACCGTGACCATATTCTAGTGAACATACAGCGACTTTATTACTGTGAACATACCGTAACTACATTACTGCAAACATACCGTGACTTTATTACTGTGAACAAACCGTAACTACAAGGTACCGCACCCAGTTATAGACCTACTTAATACCTGGTCTAATCGAAGAAGACTATTTTGACAATATCTTGATGATTAGGGCCATCTATAGATACCAGCTTGTTAACATGACGTTTAATCTGTACAATGTATTATTAAGGTAAACACTGAGACATGTTATATTCTAATTGACCGTAGTTAGGTTGATAGGCTTGCCACTCAAATTTAACCTTATTAATTGATTTCATCGGTGGCTCACATACGACATATTTCACTTTTTATTTTGAATAAAAGTCAATGATTTCTTCCAAATCAAAAACTTTTATTTTTACCCAGGTGAAGATTAGTTTTGAATCAAAATCTTTAATTTTCAAGTGAAAATTAATTGATAATTTGCTAATTTTTAATTAAAATCTAAGTGAAATTCATCTTTATTCAAACAATTTTGAGTCAATAATTATATCATATATATAATATGACCACTGATCAGCCTTCATCTTGTAAATAAACACAAAATAATATTCATTGAATTATCTCCTAGTTGAAAATTTAGGTTTTTAATTACAAAATACAGGAATTATCAAATGATTATCACCTAGGTGAAGTTTTTAATTCAAACTTATTAATACAAAATTAAAGCTTTAATTCAAAATAAAAAGTGAAATATGTCTTATGTGAGCCGCAGTCTCCAACTAATGCACGGAATAAAGCCATTTAAGGGATTGTAAACTTGTTTTTTAAACTTATATGTCTAAATAAGAATGCAAATCTTTTTCCAGTCCCCAATACATACGCATAAATAAAAGCTAGAGAACCTGTTTACATAATATCTCTTTAATAAGCATAACAGTCATTTAGCATATTTGATCCTCCAGGTAGTTGTGTTTCAAAATTGAAATTAATGTGAATATAGTTGAAAAACCTATCCAATGATAATCCTGTACATTTATAAACGAAATTTGTCAAAAACCTACTCGTTATCTATACTCTTATTTTAAAAAAATATTCGAAAATACACAAACATTATTTTAAACTTTACTTGTTATACACATAACAAAATAACGTTTTTCTCACAAAAAAATTGTATAATGGTCTTACCTCAGTTGTCATTATTACCTATGTTTTCAACTTTGTTTTCAACTTTGTTTTCAAAGGGTATACCTTGATAGTAGATAATTTGTCCAGGTAGAAATGACTAATGGTATTATCACTGTCGTCAACATTGGCCGCGTGTGTAAAGTTTAAACATTATTAATACATGTACATAGATAATGTTTGATGACCATTTCGAGACGTCGTCAAGTTTCAATGTTAATTTAATGTATTCGTTCTAGAATTCAGTCCCATTAACTAGGTCTTGTCGTCAGATAACACTTTTTATAATTCATACCATTTAAGTAACCCCTCACATGCCTGCACTAGTCAAATAGACATGTAGGGGCGGACTGAAGAGTTGAACACCGAACGTGAACCGAGGGCCCAACTGAGAAAGGTGCCATACAGCTCTATTCACAAACGTATTTTTGAACAAATGTTTTTGTTCCTCTTCGAATTCGTTGAAAAATGTAATACTGTAATCCGACAAGAATATTGAGGACAAGTAGGGTTGGAGACTTATTGGTCAGACTTCAATAACCACCTTTCTTGTATCACACAGTGTGTGTGAGATGTCTGTTTGTTGAAGGGTCAGGCAGTGTGTTTGAGATGTCTGTTTGTTGAAGGGTCAGGCAGTGTGTGTGTGATGTCTGTTTGTTGAAAGGTCAGGCAGTCTGTGTGTGAGATGTCTGTTCGTTGAAGGGTCAGGCAGTGTGAAAGTTTGAAAAAGGGTCAGGCAGTGTGTGTGAGATGTCTGTTTGTCGAATGGTCAGACAGTGTGTGTGAGATGTCTGTTTGTTGAAGGGTCAGGCAGTGTGTGTGTGTGTGTGTGTGAGAGATGTCTGTTTGTTGAAGGTCAGGCAGTGTGTGTGAGATGTCGGTTTGTTGAAGGACCAGGCAGTGTGTGTGAGATGTCTGTTTGTTGAAGGGTCAGGCAGTGTGTGTGTGTGTGTGAGATGTCTGTTTGTTGAAGGGTCAGGCAGTGTGTGTGTGATGTCTGTTTGTTGAAAGGTCAGGCAGTCTGTGTGTGAGATGTCTGTTTGTTGGATGTCAGGCAGTGTGTGTGAGATGTCTGTTGAAGGGCCAGGCAGTGTGTGTGAGATGTGGGTTTGTTGAAGGGCCAGGAAGTGTGTGTGAGATGTCTGTTTGTTGAAGGGTCAGGCAGTGTGTGTGAGATGTCTGTTGAAGGGTCATGTAGTGTGTGTGAGATGTCTGTTTGTTGAAGGGCCAGGCAGTGTGTGTGAAATGTCTGTTGTAGGGTCAGGCGTGGTGTGTGTGTGTGTGTGTGTGTGTGTGTGTGATGTCTGTTTGTTGAAGGGTCAGGCAGTGTGTGAGAGATGTCTGTTTGTAAGTTGTTATTTATAGATAACAATATTACTTAATCCCTAGGGTAGTTTTCAAGTTCCGTTATCTAGATAACGAGACCGAGATAAAATAAAAAAAATTCACCTTTTAACTGTGAATAAGCAAAAGAAAAAGTTTTCTGATTTTATTCAGGCGAAAAATGAGTGATGCAGGCTTATAAACCTACATCCGCATCTCGCCAATTCCAATTTCACCTTTTGAGGCAGAAACAGTCATCAGGGTTGGTTGGATTACACGAGGTTATTGAATCTGTACAGCAGGGTTTCTTACGTAAATAAACATTCATTGTTTGGAATTACTATAGCCCCACAGACCTTAGCGAATTCTTAATTTGAAACCAATAAAATAATAGTAGTAGGCCTATTTACCTTGAACTAGAATCTTTTTTATAATCATGACCAGCCATCTTGAACGATTTTCTGTATTTGTAAGTTACGTCACGTGATTTGATGTGACCTATATTATTGCACGTGTTTGAGTAGATGTTGTTGTTTGTTTAATCTGTAGTATAAATGGGTCAATGTGGCTTACATCAGTTCAATATGTTCAATTATTACACTCAGTCCTTGTGTTACGATCTTTATTGATTGGACTGCTTAAGACTATAGACATTATTAGACCTAAACATCTTGGTTTGTACCCTCCACTTCATTTATAAAAGTATGATTGTGTCAGAAGGCAACAAATCTTTTATATTTTTCAAAATGTTCTTGTGATGAATCTTTTCAGATTCTCAGTTGGCGGCTCTCTATATGCGCTTCCACTGAGCTATCGCATTTAGAGTCTCATCCTCGACCACCCATTAAGTCAGTGTGTGCCCTATTAATACCCCCAAGTTCGGGAGTCTGGCGCTGCAACTGCTGTCAGGCTACCCCTGAATAGATAAATAACTTTATCACTTGTCTTTTGAAGGGACTGGGAATTTGGGATATTAAATTCTTTTTGCTTTGGAATATAATATCCAACAATGTCCCTTTCGCCTGCCAAAGATCTTAGTGAAAATCCAATATATAAAATATGATAAAATAGCATGGAATAATTTACATTCATAAATAACGACAACAACAATAACAACATATACTTAATAAATAGGGCGATGTACACGTGTACACATTTAAATAGAGCGATATACACATTTAAATAGAGCGATGTACACATGTACACATTTAAATAGAGCGATATACACATTTAAATAGAGCGATGTACACATGTTCACATTTAAATAGAGCGATTTACACATTTAAATAGAGCGATGTACACATGTTCACATTTAAATAGAGCGATTTACACATTTAAATAGAGCGATTTACACATGTACACATTTAAGTAGAGCGATCTACACATTTTGAATAGAGCAATGTACACATTTAAATAGAGCGAGGTACACATGTACACATTTAAATAGAGCGATATACACATTTAAATAGAGCGATGTACACATTTAAATAGAGCTATATACACAATTAAATAGAGCGATGTACACATTTAAATAGAGCGATGTACACATGTTCACATTTAAATAGAGCGATATTCACATTTAAATAGAGCGGTGTACACATGTACACATTTAAATAGAGCGATGTACACATGTTCACATTTACATAGAGTGATGTACACATGTACACATTTAAATAGAGCGATGTACACATGTTCACATTTAAATAGAGCGATGTACATATTTAAATAGAGCGGTGTACACATGTACACATTTAAATAGAGCGATGTACGCATGTACACATTTAAATAGAGTGATGTACACATTTACTTAGAGCAATGTGCACATTTAAATAGAGCGAGGTACACATGTACATATTTAAATAGAGCGATGTACACATTTAAATAGAGCAATGTACACATTTAAATAGAGCGAGGTACATATGTACACATTTAAATAGAGTGATGTACACATTTAAATAGAGCAATGTACACATTTAAATAGAGCGAGGTACACATGTTCTCATTTAAATAGAGTGATGTACACATGTACACATTTAAATAGAGCGATGTACACATGTTCACATTTAAATAGAGCGATGTACATATTTAAATAGAGCGGTGTACACATGTACACATTTAAATAGAGCGATGTACGCATGTACACATTTAAATAGAATGATGTACACATTTACTTAGAGCAATGTGCACATTTAAATAGAGCGAGGTACACATGTACATATTTAAATAGAGCGATGTACACATTTAAATAGAGCAATGTACACATTTAAATAGAGCGAGGTACATATGTACACATTTAAATAGAGTGATGTACACATTTAAATAGAGCAATGTACACATTTAAATAGAGCGAGGTACACATGTTCTCATTTAAATAGAGTGATGTACACATGTACACATTTAAATAGAGCGATGTACACATGTTCACATTTAAATAGAGCGATGTACATATTTAAATAGAGCGGTGTACACATGTACACATTTAAATAGAGCGATGTACGCATGTACACATTTAAATAGAATGATGTACACATTTACTTAGAGCAATGTGCACATTTAAATAGAGCGAGGTACACATGTACATATTTAAATAGAGCGATGTACACATTTAAATAGAGCAATGTACACATTTAAATAGAGCGAGGTACATATGTACACATTTAAATAGAGTGATACATATGTACACATTTAAATAGAGTGATGTACACATTTAAATAGAGCAATGTACACATTTAAATAGAGCGAGGTACACATGTACATATTTAAATAGAGCGATGTACACATTTAAATAGAGCGATGTACACATTTAAATAGAGCGAGGTACATATGTACACATTTAAATAGAGTGATACATATGTACACATTTAAATAGAGCAATGTACACATTTAAATAGAGCGATGTACACATGTTCACATTTAAATAGAGCGATGTACATATTTAAATAGAGCGGTGTACACATGTACACATTTAAATAGAGCGATGTACGCATGTACACATTTAAATAGAATGATGTACACATTTACTTAGAGCAATGTGCACATTTAAATAGAGCGAGGTACACATGTACATATTTAAATAGAGCGATGTACACATTTAAATAGAGCAATGTACACATTTAAATAGAGCGAGGTACATATGTACACATTTAAATAGAGTGATACATATGTACACATTTAAATAGAGTGATGTACACATTTAAATAGAGCAATGTACACATTTAAATAGAGCGAGGTACACATGTACATATTTAAATAGAGCGATGTACACATTTAAATAGAGCGATGTACACATTTAAATAGAGCGATGTACACATTTGAATGCCTGGAAAAATTAGGTTTTTGAAAACTTTACATAAAATTATATGTTTAAATGCTTGGAAGAATTAGGAAGCCTGCATTTTTTTAAACCTTACGTATAATAAAAGGTTTATTCGGTTTTAAAGGACACCAGTCCATAGCACCCAGACCGGTATTAAGGTGGGAATAGACGATGTATGGTGTCCGGTGCGGCGTACGATGCGGGATTATCGATGGAGAAGAAAATAGCAGAAGCTAATCCTGTTTTTCTACTGTATGGATCACCCCGCAGAGTACACTGCACATCGTCTATTCCCACCTTACACAGTAATGTATTGTAACAAATAGCATTCCTATGTTCTAGCATTGTAATAATATGTGACCAATATTTTATGACAATTGTATGAAAAGAAGTACACAGTGGATTTCATCCGGCTTTAGCATAGACATTAATTATTTATGTGCACCAGAGACACTAATAGCAACCAATCAAAATGTCAATCTGACGTCTGTGGTTCTCTATAACTAAGGATTATTGACGTCACTATCACAGACCTTGCATTTAATATCTAACCATCTGACTGTCACAGGATTGATTATTTGAGGGTATAATTCCCCTTTTGTCGGTTTGAATACGGAACCATCTGGTTAGTGAGCACCGCGGCCCCAAAACTGTCAAAAAGCTAAAACAATTTCAGTGACTCAACGAGATGAGTCTGAGGTTCAGGCCACTTCCCGGAGAAATCGTTTTTTTTTTTAGAATATGTTGTCCCTCTTTTTTCTATCTGGGAACGGGGCCCCCTTATTTATTGATTATTCAGTCAATGAAGAGGATGACATACACAGATCATCATCACCGCCAGTTTTATTCAGAATGTTGCTCTCAGCGTTGGGATAGAATTCAATATGAAGAGTACCACTTTGTTTATTAGCAATGATCTGAGTATGGTTTGCAATTTTGACAATTCTGTTCTTGATGTTATTGACGAGACTCATGACTCCACTGAACGAGGTATACATTGGTTCACCCACAGTCAACTCTAAACTCTCTAAACTTTTACATCTAGAAAACAAGACCTCCAACCCGGAGAGGTTGATCAATTTATTTTTGGATACCATTAATCTTTCTATATATTTACAGTCATTAGCAATAGCCGAAAGCGACACATTGGATATCTTCATGGCGAAGAAACATGATTCACCAGAAAGATCCAAGATGCGTAGAAATGCACAAGAATTTACCAAGGAAGCAATGGCAATGTCCGTGATAAGATTACAACCCCGTAAAGATAGTTCCTGCAAATCTGGACAGTGTTTTGCGATCTCAATAATAGTGTCGTTGGTAATTCTGGTGCAGAAACTCAGATGCAGTGATTGAAGATGTGAATGGTTCTGGAGCCGTATCAATGTATTTTTAGTAACATCTATAGAGTTATGAGACTCTGATGACACACCAGTTGTGGAATCATGGTCAGTTTGAGTAGCTTCTTTATGTACAATATCCTGCACATCTCCTCCTGTTAATCTTATGGCAGGAAGCTCACTAGCTCCTCTGGAAGTCACTGGTTCCATATTATCACTGATGCAGATATCAGAGACCATGTGACATGTCTCTAAAGTCAAACATTGAAGCCATCTACATCTAGCCATAACTACGCTGATGCCTTTGGACGTTAGTTGAGCACATTCAGACACTTCTAAATCTTTTAGATATCGAGAATGCTCACCCAAAGCCATTAGAGATGCATCTGTAATAGATACACAGCCTGCAAGTCTCAACTCTGTCAGTCCAAGACAATTGGAAGCAACAGCAATAATACATTTATCATCTATTAAATGGCAATAACTGATACATAGAGTTTTCAATTTGCAACAACCTAGAGCTAATGTCTCAAGTCCAAAACTGCTCATTGAGCAACCTTTCTCTTCAGGATCAGTCTTATTGACCAAGAGGCTTTCCAGTTCTTTACAATGACTGGCAACATATCCAATTCCAACATCAGAAATATTCACACACGACTTAATATTGAGCAATTTCAACTTTGGAGAATTTTCAGCAATTACTTTCAGTCCTTTATCATCAATCATTGTGTAGGCAATACTCAGATGTGTCAAACTATGAACATCTTTCTTGAGCGTTTCAAATCCAGAGTAAGTGAGCTTATCAGCACCAGTCAAATCAAGTTCTTCCAATTTGGGACTACATTCAAAAATACCTGCTAAAGTTTTATCAGATAGTTCAGTTGCATAAATGTCACAATATTTTAAATTTGAACAACATTGAAAGGTTTTCAGTATTTTTTCATTCAATTTGCTGTCATCAGCTGGGCAGGCAAAATCTTCAAAACTCAAATATTGCAATTCTTTAAATTGTGAAACATAGTCCAAACATCTATAGATATTAATGTAGCTGCAATGGTTCAAGTTCAAAGATGTAAGTTTTGGATACTTCTCAGTTAAGTAAACTATGGTACTAGTAGTGACATTGGTCAAACTAAAGTCTAAAGATTTGATGTTGGACAGGACCAGGTCTTTGTGCATGAAAGACTCGTCCGTTAAAAGCAATGTAAATCCAAACACAATCTCTTCCACTAAGTCAGATATTGGTGCCAGCATTTTCAGAAAGGAAACATCTCCCATTTTCTCCCCAAATCCACCATTGTCTAATTTCAGCATTTTCCACAGTGACCGATCATAACTCAAGTAATGCCAAAAACGACAAGTTTTTCTGATGACCAATATCAATGTTCGAATATCCACAAAATGAAATATTCTCAATAACACACATTCTGGAAGATCAGAAATATAAATATCGGTAGTTTGTTTGTGTATAGAGTGAGTTAAAGAGTTTTCAGATGGCTGCTCTCCAATCTTGTGTAATGCCGTGTTTTGACTAATATTTAATGATGCCAAATCTGTGACTAGCTTGTTTCCAGAAGTTTCAGAAGAACCATTGTCCACCAATTTAGTTTTTGACTCCAAAGTCTCTGGTCTCCAGCATTTTGATTCTGAATCTTCATTGTTAGTTGAATTCTCAGTAGAACTGCCAGCTTGTCCTAGATGATTTCCTGGAATCTGAGACGCCATGTTTTTCACAGGAAAATCTTTCTTATGACTAACTAAGGCATTATTGGACAATTTTCATTATGGAACGATGTACACCATCCATCAGCCAGCTAGCTTTACAATCAGTCAGTTCACTCCATCTAAACCTAAAAATAAGAAGATTGTAAGTTACCAACTATAGATACTGTACTACTATTTCATTACAAATCATTTTCTAAAAAATACATCACTAAAATATACATGCATTTTTAAACTCAAATTGTTCCCCTAAAAATCTTCCTAGCCTCCCTTTTCTATCCCCCCTAAAATAATATCCCTTCCTTCACCTATATAACAGAGCCATTAAATCATACAGTATATGTACATTCAATACATGGGTCAGAAAAATTCATATAAAATGAACATTTGACAATAATTGTCATTATGACCTTTGAACTGGATGTTTTGGTATACATGTACTCACAACATTATTGTGAAAGTGAGTACTTCGTTGAATTTGTGACAGCTAGGTTGTATAATATATTGGTATTTTTATCAAATCTGCTTACATTTAAAACATGACATGTATGTTGTTTTTGTAGTATTATGCTAAGAATTCATACAGAGTTTCTTAAAAAAAAACTATTTGAGCTACAGCAGTTCATTAAGTCTCTTTCTGTCTTCTTGAACTTAACCTTTGACATAATAGTTTAGTCTACAAGTGTCTTGGAATACCCGTTCTCACATTTTATACAAATCAATAAACATCAATAAACAGTTATCACATAGAAGTAGGTAGCAACAAAAAAAAATTGGGCAACCACTCGAAAACAAAGAAAAAATACTGGTAAAATTTCGGGCATGTACACCTATGAGCAATCAAAATGAGTGATTTTTTTAATATATCAATTCACCTCTTTAAGAAAAAACAAAGCAAAAAAAACAGGAGCATTCTAGCCTCACTTAAAAGTGGTCCGAATTTGGTCAAGGGAGACAACTTCAGTAGGCTCTAAGTGAGAAATCGGATAATCCCTAAGGTCGACAGAATAAATGAACTTTAATAATGCACAAAATCAGTTTTTCCTCACCGTTCGATTCCGATTGTGTCTTACACATAGCAAATATTCAGTGACACAATCTTAAATTAGAAAATGACAGAATGACGGGCAATCATAATTATAATTTTTTCTACCGGAAATTACATGACATGACTCTCTAAAGTTGAAAGACATAAATAAACTTGACGACGTTTTGTAAACAAACATGGCGGTGAAAAAGTAGTTTTTAGTCGAAGATATCCCTTTTTGTTTTTTAGAATACTTTGTCATAAAGTAAAAACCAAGTTGTTTTCCGATAAATATATGTTATATATGCAGGTGCGTCACAGATTCTCATATTTACACCATGTATTATGTAGTAGCAGCATAAGAAGTTAAAGAAGACCGAATTTGATGCAGTTAATGTTGATTTTGAAACATCTGCAAACATTGCAATCATGCATCATTTAATTAATAATACACGTACGCGAGTATCACAAGTATTTCCAAGCATGTCAAAATTGACTTGTTTTAAGGAAAGAGACAAATTCTTTTAATAGGTTTAGGCTATAGAGGTTGTCAATCAATGGCATGCCTACTTTTAAGATTTCACTTTCAGAGGTTCAGGGAAGGGAGTGTTTGAGTGGACCAAATGCACAGGTCTAGACCCTAAACAGGGAGGAACAAATACTTCATTGACAGTGATCTTTCCTGGTAGGTAGGTAGGTAGATGACAAGTTCGCTTCCAGCGGATGCTGATATCGCAAACTAGGTAGTTGTTGGTAGTCGTAGTAGTTGGTAGTTGGATTGGTTCAAATTGGATGATTCGGTGTTGTTATAAAGCTTTCACAAAAGGGGGAGAGATGTTCGCTAATGTTTCTGCAATGAAACTTGTTAAATTGATTGGATATAATTAGATCTTTCCTGGATAGTCTAAATCCATTTATAGTAGGGTCAGCTAGAAAAAAAGCCTTTTTACCAGTTGGTCCCTGGTCTACCTTCCTAGATTATCTGTCACCATTTACATCAAGTTTTAGTGAAATGATAAGGAAAGATAACTTATTCAAGATCTTCAAAGATTTTTATAAAAATGACATTCCTATCTAGTTACTTTTTTTAACGGCAAAAGTTTATAAATTTGTGTTCATTAATTGCAGATAAAAGAAAACTATAAAAAATCAGAGAAGAATAGCCATGAAAACTCAAATTACACCAAAGGGCGATGAGCCTTCAATGTATTTACAGAGACCCTCTACTGGTAAATCACAAGATGTTCGTCATATTTTAACACAAACATTCAGAGATTTATACACTAGAGATACAGTGAGGCCTGAAACTGTTAAAAATCTACAAGTAACAAAAGGTAGTGATGACCCTTATCATGAAAGATATGTTGAATCTTTACAAAAGGTGATTATGATTATAGAATATTTTATGGTTCGTAATAATTCAGTTTTGTGAAAACATTGTACAAGCCCGGCTAGGGCTGGGCTTGGTAAATCAAGTTAGTCCAGTAGAAATACTGGATAAACTTGATTTACCAAATGTTATCCTCACTGTATTCGAAACCGACCATTTTATCATAAATAAAGATATTTAGCACTCTGATTTGCACAAATATCCTACAACTTTTCCATTCCACTAAAACTAAGCAATAAAAGACGTACTCAAAGAGTTTTATAAGGCAATGGTAAAGCAAAATGTGAATGAGATGGCAATTTTTAGTTAGAAATATAGCCTTTTTGTAAGGGGAGATAAGATGACTTATTATGTTATTTTGCTCTGATTATAGGTTGGTTGTAAATACTCTCGTGGGAGTTGTGTCATTCTGGTTAATTTTTCTGGAATTGCAGGAAACGCAGGCATTGGATGAATATTGGCATGTCCAAAAGATAAGTTAAAGGTGTCCCCGATACACATAAAAATGCTAGCAATCTTCTTTACAATCTCTTTAAGTATTTTGTAACATCTTAAACAATTGTGATTTTGATAAGGTTTATGAAGAATGGCAGAAAAGAATGGATGAAGCTGCTATGTTAGAACGCCATATTATGCAGGCTCAAGCTAGAGCTACCTCATCTGATGAGCGAGAATTAAACCATACACTAACCAGTTGTGATAATTATACAGAACTTGGTCTACCACCAGGTAAGTGCTATCAATATTTACTCATTATGTTCAATTCAATTTTAAACCTAGCAGAATATCGCCAATCTTTGCATCAATAACACTCTTTTAAACTGAACATCAATCGTTTTCTTTAAAGAATAAGGACATATTTGGTCTTAAGATAAGGAAACAATAGTCCGACTGTGAAGCCAATCAATTTACTAATCTGCCTGTTTTTTCTTTTGTGTAGAAGAAAATCACAATTTATCGTGGGCTCTGTCTTATAAATTCACGCTTACAGATTGATTATTTTCCTATTACGTTACATGCTATTGTCTGAGTAAAGTAAAAGGTTTTTTGAATTTTTTCTATATTTTTTAAGAAAATTGGAATATCAGCCTCAAAATAGTACTGTTAGTCTTAGAATGTTTTTAATTTTTCGTAAGTTTGCACGAAAAGAAACACATTTCCCTCCTAAAAATTTCAACCAAAAAAAGTCCAAAATTTTGGCTGAAAATGGTCCTCTGTAAAATCAAATTTTAAAGACATAATGTGTGCTTATTTTTATATTTTTATCAACACAAAAACATTCTAAGACTAACTACTATTTTTAGACTGCTATTTTAATTCTCTTAAAAATAATGGACTAAATACGAAAAACTTTTTACTTTGCTCAGACAATAGCCCTATTGCTCTCTTTATATTTCCATCTCACATATTTATGTTGTGCCAAATAAATGAATGAGTGATTTCAGCCAAATATGCCATTATAGGTCATTCTGTTTGATCCTGTGGGTACAAAATTGAAACGTTGTTATTATTTAAAAGGATTTTTACCACAAAATTTGTATTCATAATAAAGCTGACTATTCCTTTTAGAGATTAGTGCTTGTTAAAATTCAACATTCTAAAAGTTGTAATTTATTCAAAATGTGGAATATCATACATCATTGGATATGGGACATCACGCATTTTACAGATAACAGTCTGAACAAAACCCAATTATATTACAATTTCATATCTTTTATCTTCTGATATTTTAGTCTCTATTGTCATCTGACAAGTTTTTTTTTAACCTTGTAATATTATTGTTTTTTTTAGGTCAATCTAATTTCCGGTCATGTATTGATACAGAATTATTAAAATCTTATGGTTTAATCACACCTGAAGATTATTCTTTAAAAGAACTGGATTCCATTCCAGCTCCACAAAGTAAGTATATACGAGACAATAAAAAAGGCCTGTGTGCGCATTTAAGATCCCTTGACAATTACAACTCAATTAAAAAGTCTCTGCCCGGGCAAAATTTCCCTTGTTGTACACTGCATTGCATTGCCTGTCTTCATTAGTCTTCATTAGGTGTAGAAAAGCAGGATGTAACACTCCATTTCTTTTCTTTGTAATGGAACTGAAAAATAGATGGAATTAATTTGGACCTTTCCCTGACAACCAGTGTTATTGTTATCGAAATGTCAATTCTTTTTTTTTTTTTTTTTTTTTCCGATTTTTACACACCTTCCTGTGCTTAGACAACAACCTTTCAACTATCATAGACCTTCTATATAGGCGACGATGTGCATAAGTATAAATTGGAAGATTTTTGCAAAACCGGAAGTGCCACAGTTCAACATGTGTAAAAAGTCGAAAATCGGCTCTAGAAGGTGTATTTTTGCATCGATTTTCTTCGGGTTTTCATTTCTACAATCTACCTGTAATTTCTGACCTGATAGCATTTAAAAAATTTCAAATTTCGAAAATTCGTAGAATACATTTTTTGGCCGATTTTGGAAATTTTTGGACCATTTTTTATTTTTTTTCGGATTAATCTGAAATTTTGATAAAAGATGCATGTCACTAATGTAAACCATTTGACGTATTCAAAATTTTTGCGTCACTTCCGGTTAAAGTGGAAAATCGATTTTCACTTTCGGTTGAATAACTTCCGGTGTGATTGAAATATTTCGACGAAATTATGTATATCGTTATTAATCGTAATTCTATGGCCGATTTTAAAATAAAATTTAGTCCGAAAAAAATACTTCGGCCGCCATCTTGATTTGATACTTTTTCATAAAACTCAAAATGGGGCTTCGGGGGAGAATGGGATTGGTCAAATTTTTATGTTGGTGTATACTTTAGTCGATGGCGACAAAAATGTTGCGAATGGATTTTTGAATTTGACTTTTGCTTTTTTGCAACTTCCGGTCGAATTTTTTTCAATTTTTGAAGGCTTGTATCTCGTGACCTTGACCTTTGATGACCTTGACCTTCATAGGGTCAAAGGTCATTGACCTTGGCTATCATTTGATACTTTGACCTTTGAACTCCGACATGTACTTCCTTTTTCAAGCTATCCGTAAAAAGCCAAATTCGCAACTTTCGACTGCTCCAGCACGTGACCTAATTAACCTAGAGGGTTAATTTTTTCGGTTTTCTAATGTGCTTCTCATGCACTTTACATAGATATAGAACAATTGCTTTTTTAAAGCAAAATTGAAATTCGTGATTTTTTCAAATTTGAGTTTAGTTTTACCATACTTGTGTCTTTTTGAGCTTGGTGTATGTATATCTTATGACCTATTCTATGTAGAACCTTGATATTTGAAATACAACTAGACACTTTGAATATGAATTCATCTATGACAAAAAAATTGGGGTGGGCGTGGCACATCCGGGTCGAATTACTAATTGTTTACATTTTGCGGCTGGGGCATAACTCGCATAGGATACGTTTGTTCAAAAAGGGACTTTGCACACAATTACCTCATCCTTTTGGCCAGTTTGTGTTAACAGCTCAGTTGTTTCAGCTTTATAGTTCCAAAAAAGGAATGGGTTTTAACATTTGGATATTTTCATTTTTCGATTTTGACCTCTATTGACATTTGTTGACCTATATCTTTTGACCTGAATAATGTAGAAGCTTGAAATCTAAAACACAACATAACATTTGGAATATCTATTACTCATTATTGACATTTTTGGCCAGGAACATAACTCGCAAAGTATACGTTTGTTCAAAATGGAACTTTGCATACAATTATCTCATGTTTTGAGTCACTTTGTCTTAGAAGTTCGGTTGTTTCCGCTTCATAGTTCAAAAAAAGGAACAGGTTTTGGAAATTCAAAATTTTCAATTTTTGACCTTGACCTTTGTTGACCTTGACCTTTCTAGGATCAAACGTCATTGGCATTGGCAATCTATTTATACTTTTATATTTGCTGTCCTATGTCAACTTCCGGTTTTATAGTCGTATGCAATTAGAAATTTTGATGACGTATATCTCTTGATCTTGACCTTTTTAGACCTTCTCCTTTACAAGATCAAAGGTCATTGACCTTGGCTATCTGCTGATACTTTCATTTGTGAGGTCTGACATTTACTTCCGGTATTAGAATCTTCTAAAAAATAAAAAATTATCAACTTTAGACTTGTTCTTGCGCTTGAATTAATTATCGTCGATGGTTGATTTTTTCGGGGTCTTTAGCAAATTGCTACATTTGCAAAGTCCCACTCTGTGCCACGAGTGGCTCTAGTTTTTATTATTATTTTTGTTGTTGTTTATTTTCAGTACCCAAGACACCAAGTTATGCCCGACAGACTTTAACATCTGATAAACATACCTATAGGAACGAGGGTAGAGAAGAGACACCATTATTTATACCACCTGTTCAACTGATGTCTGATTTCACTGAAAGTAGTTTTATTACAGAAGATTATAACATAGAAACTTATACAGAGTTAGAACAATTTGTAAGTATTCTAAATCTCTCCTTTTTACCAAATTTTTACCATAGCTAATCACAAAAAACCTTTAGAACGTGCATAATTTTCTAATATTCATAATGTCCGACAAGTTTGAATTTGGGTATGATGACAAATATTTCCTGAGGTACAGCCCTTGATTTATTAAAAATGTGTGAAACGTGGATATTTCTGTTGTAAGTAATCTATTGTTTTTTAATGAGGAGTATCATCACCCCATTGGAGTAAAGATTGTTGATTTTTTCAGGATGAATATTATCAATCCGGGAATTGGAAACTACAGCTAAATACAGAACAGAGAGACCAAGACAGACAAGATTTAGCTATGATGAATGCTAAAGTCAACTACCTACGTAATCCACGCTACATCCCTCCTTCAGCTCCTCCTGGCTGTCGTTTATTAACAAAACAGTTTAAAAAGAAACCGAAAGAAATTTGCATACAAGAAAAGATTGAAGATTTAAAGTAAGGGCAGATAAATCTTGTTATTTTATTACCTTGTAAACTGACTCTCGGAGGCACTAACCCTGGCCTCAGCATTTTTTTTCTTACCTTGAAGGCACAATTATAGCAGCTGACAATCCAACTCGCTACTATCTGAGCTGTTCGACTGTCAAAATAGATAGTGTTCCAACCGAACTGTCCGTGTATGTTAAGTTTTATCAGAAGTCATGTTTCTTTGACGTTTCAGTATAAAGACCTCTTGTATACAAATTTTATCTTTGATATATTTCCAGACCCAGTTCGCCATCAGTAATATTTATAGCTTCACCACCAGTTGTTTCATTTAAACAATATAAAGTCGGACCAGTTTATGAGGTAGGCTTTCTAATTGTGATAGTAGAACTCAAAGAAACTCTTATTTGTGTTTCACTATCCCACAATTAGACATTTGTATCAAGAAATGAGTCCTACACTATAAAGTTTGATGTCTGATAGATATATCATCATTAGGATTATACACTTGGTTTCATCGTGGATTCTAACCTCAGTGTGTCAATGTATTGTGATCTTGAATAGGTCATGCTGCTCAATCGATAAGGTTTTCCAAGGACCAGCAGTCTTTCTTTATAAATGGAGAATTTGATCAGGCCAATATTGTTATTTTGCAAGATTTGAGTAGGCCAACTGTTTATAAAAAGAAAGTATAATATAAGTCATGTGACTTAAGATTTGGATATGGGTTTGCATTTCCCAACATGTACACACCTATTAAATAATCAACAGAAATATAATTTGGTAATTATATATTTTACATTCTGCTATAGATTCAATTGGAATTGAAAAATGTTTCTACAGTTTTACGTCAATGCAGAATACTTCCACCAAAAACTTCCTTTTTCTCTGTTGGACTAGGTAGGTTTCCTTGTTTGAATTTTAATTAGGTTATCAATAGTCAAAGATATTTATGCTCATCTATTCTAGTGTAGATGAACACTATTATGGAATACACTACTTATATTAGCTCAAATAAATAGTGTTCTTAATTTATCTCATGTACCCTCCACTTCTAAATATTGTTCAAAGATTATCATAGTTAATGTTATTATGTTTTAGGTCAGTTTCCAGGAGAGCATGGTCTAGTGGCACCAGGTATGAGCTGTAAATATGCTGTAAGATTCATACCAGATTCTTTGAGAGATTATAGAGATGAGATAGTTGTACAAACTCAATCTTCTACACCATTAATTATACCTCTTGAAGGTCGTCGTGAACCACCTCAGTTAACTTGTAAGAATTAAACTGTTAGTGATATTTAACAACCTTTGTGATTGTGACATCATAAAATGTTTTAGTAGAAATGTAAGAAACACAAATGTTTGACTGAAAATTGTAATGGTATTTCAGTGTCCCTGATACAAATATAACTTTACCTTTAAAGTATTGTTGTATGTTTTGTTTGTTGTATGTTATGTCTGTTGTACGTTATGCTTTGCTGTATGTTATGTCTGTTGTACATTATGTTTTGCTGTATGTTATGTTTGTGTCATGTTATGTTTGTTGTATATTATGTTTGTCGTTCATTATGTTTGTTGTATGTTATGTTTGTTGCACATTACATTATGTTTGTGGTATGTTATATTTGTGGTACATGTGTTTGTGGTACATTGTGTTTGTTGTCTGTATTTCAGTACCGTCAGTATGGGATATTGGTTACAGTTTAGTTGGTGGATATGAAATAACTCAGCTGGTTGTAAAGAATGAAGGAGGTGATGGGAGATTTTGTATTATGCCCAGAACTTCCTGGCCAGCTGTCAGTTTTAAGGTAAATTAGTGAAAATAATTTTATGTATTGTCTCGATTCACTTGAAACTTTAGAGATTCATGTAACAAACATATCTTCAGAAAATCAAGTTTGAAACTGTTCGCTGGCAAAAACAGTTTGTCAGAGGCCTACATAGACTGTAAACAATGTGGCTGCACATGTAATCTAGGGCAGTGTTTCTCAACCTCAGTGAGTTCATTCCTCCCCAAAAAGTTATTTCAAATTTATTCCTCCCCAAAAAATCAGTCATTTTGAAACATATCAAGATAGTTCAATGTGACGCTTGGGCTAAATATATTATATTTACCATACCTCGCCATTTCCTCCCAGGTCTTACGATTCCTCAACATTTCCTCCCAGGTCTTACGATTCCTCCCCATTTCCTCCCAGGTCTTACGATTCCTCCTCATTTCCTCCCAGGTCTTACGATTCTTCCCCATCTCCTCCCAGGTCTTACGATTCCTCAACATTTCCTCCCAGGTCTTACGATTCTTCCCCATTTCCTCCCAGGTCTTACGATTCCTCAACATTTCCTCCCAGGTCTTACGATTCCTCAACATTTCCTCCCAGGTCTTACGATTCCTCAACATTTCCCAACATTTCCTCCCAGGTCTTACGATTCCTCCCCATTTCCTCCCAGGTCTTACGATTCCTCAACATTTCCTCCCAGGTCTTACGATTCCTCCCCATTTCCTCCCAGGTCTTACGATTCCTCCCCATTTCCTCCCAGGTCTTACGATTCTTCCCCATCTCCTCCCAGGTCTTACGATTCCTCAACATTTCCTCCCAGGTCTTACGATTCTTCCCCATTTCCTCCCAGGTCTTATGATTCCTCCCCATTTCCTCCCAGGTCTTACGATTCCTCAACATTTCCTCCCAGGTCTTACGATTCCTCCCCATTTCCTCCCAGGTCTTACGATTCCTCAACATTTCCTCCCAGGTCTTATGATTCCTCAACATTTCCTCCCAGGTCTTACGATTCCTCCCCATTTCCTCCCAGGTCTTACGATTCCTCCCCATTTCCTCCCAGGTCTTACGATTCCTCAACATTTCCTCCCAGGTCTTACGATTCCTCAACATTTCCTCCCAGGTCTTACGATTCCTCAACATTTCCTCCCAGGTCATACGATTCCTCAACATTTCCTCCCAGGTCTTACGATTCCTCAACATTTCCTCCCAGGTCATACGATTCCTCAACATTTCCTCCCAGGTCTTACGATTCCTCAACATTTCCTCCCAGGTCATACGATTCCTCAACATTTCCTCCCAGGTCTTACGATTCCTCAACATTTCCTCCCAGGTCTTACGATTCCTCCCCATTTCCTCCCAGGTCATACGATTCCTCAACATTTCCTCCCAGGTCTTACGATTCCTCAACATTTCCTCCCAGGTCTTATGATTCCTCCCCATTTCCTCCCAGGTCTTACGATTCCTCCCCATTTCCTCCCAGGTCTTACGATTCCTCAACATTTCCTCCCAGGTCTTACGATTCCTCCCCATTTCCTCCCAGGTCTTACGATTCCTCAACATTTCCTCCCAGGTCTTATGATTCCTCAACATTTCCTCCCAGGTCTTACGATTCCTCCCCATTCCACTTTGTTCTTATGATTCCTCCCCATTTCCCCCCAGGCAATAATTTAGATTGCTAAATTTCACTTCTCTTTCTATTTTTTTCCAGTCTGCTGTAACAAAACCATCAGTGACAATTGGTCAATTTGAAATTCGACCATCAACACTAGAATTAAAGAAAGATCAGACAGGTATTATTGAGGTGGTATTTCATCCTGGGGTAGCTGAAGTTTATAATGAAGAGATCACGTTAGTCTGTGATAATTGTAATGTTCAACATTATAAACTGAAAGGTATGTTCATGATGTATATTTACTCCAGTTGGTAGTTTATTCAGATTTAAATTTTTAAAACAAAATTAACCCCAGTGACTTCAAATATTATAAATTCTATAAATCCTTTAGTTTTTAACTGATTTTAATAAATACAATGAAAATCAAACTGGTCAAAAATGCATTTTTTGAATAAAGATATTTTGTCTTATGAATATCGTGGGTGACCGCTTGAAACCTCGTATAACGATAAATGACGCGGAATTACTTTTCGAGAAAAACACAAAAAACTATTTGTACACGTATTTTGTTAAAATCTTTTTTATTATTTTTTTACCGCTATGTGTGGTTTTCATTCTTGGAAAATGTAAACCTCGTATAACAATTTGAAATCTTCGGCCTATTGAACCAAAAACTTGTATAATAATACAGTATACGAGGTTTTTCATTTTCATCTGCAGAAAAAGGAACATTGAACCTCGTATAATAATATATTTTACGAGGTTTTAAATCTGACTGTTTAAATACGTGTTATTTAATTGGTGTTTTTTTGAGTTATTTACAATCAAGCTAAGAATACGAGATTTTGATCACAAGATCCGCGCTTTAACAAGCTTTCGAACAGTACAAAAAAGTCAAAATGACTAAATATGGCATATACGAGGTTTCAAACGGTCACCCACGATATACAATGATATGTTTTTCAAATTCAGAGCTTCCTTGCAAGTTCCTCAAAGTACATTTAATTGCATTCTGGAAACAAGTGCGAATGGGCCACTTAGTTTTAGTGGATAAAGCAAAGATGTCAGACTGAAAAATTCAAATGTTACAAATCCATGCTTTCCTGATACAGTATACAGTGATACTCATAAAAAGTTTAGAGAAATCTCTTGACAATCCCATTGAACAAGTTTGTGTCCATATCTATTTTGTATTTTTGAGTAAATATTATTTTGTCATTGAAGGTGAAGGTCAGTTAGCGACTATCAGTTTAGAATATGTTGACAGTGGTTTAAAAGAAAGATTGCCTGGTGAAATAGGGGATGTCTCCGCCCAACATCTGATAGAATTTGAGGAACTAAATCCTTATACTTATGTTGAAAAAACAGTTAAAGTGCAGAATAAATCGTAAGTAGAGTTTGATTGGAATAGTAAGTCTCGTAACAAATTTAAAATGTTTCAATTTTGTACCCACAGAATTACTTTTGACAGCATGTTTGGCTGAAATGGCTAGTTTATGTGCAATTTGAATATGGTATCTGAATATACAAGATTATGATAAAAAGATTAAAGATTATTAAAGATAGAAGTGTAAATATGAGAGCAATATGACTGGCATGTAAAAACTGAATATAGCCACAAACAATACTGATCTTTGAGAAGTAATTTATCTGACTGTGTCAACTCTTCCTTGGTATTTTTACTAGCTAAGATCTATCAACTTATAAAGCCTATATTTATATTGTAATGTGGGTATTTCTATTTCTTATTATGTTATTTGATTTATTCATTCAAAATTCCAAGCGCCAGCAAGTATGATATTAGAGTATTGGAATCTTTGGTTATATTATGACAATTGCTTGGTTATATTGTACAAATGATGGTTGTAGGTTCTAATCTCGGTCAGTCTGTAAAAGTAATTGGTATGGATAATCTGGGGAAGATCAATGCCTAGAGGTTTTACAAAATATCAGCTGAAAGAAGGATTTTGGTGATTCTAAGGAATGTTTTTTTCTTTCTTTCTAAAAGTAATTGAGAAATTTACTTCACTTCTATGTTTTTCAGGAATGTAGAATTACCATTTCAATGGTTATTATATAAACCACAGTTTGCTGGTAGTACTGATGAAGAAGATAGTATGATTGTGACAAGAACCAGAGTCTTAGATTCCGATACACCATTCAGTATTAGACCAGCTTCTGGAAGTCTTTTACCCTTAGAGGAAGCAGAATTTAAACTCATCTTTTCACCACCATTGGTAATATTAAGTTTCGTTTTAAAACAGAATAAAATGGGCTCTTATAAAATATGATATGCAGTACTATTAGCATCAAATGATCAGTCTAATGTCTGAAACTTTAACTAAGTATTATACAGCCTTAAAATACATGTACTATGTAAAGGTTTGTGTAATGGTTTTCTCATAATATGTTATTTTTCATTGCGATATCAAAGGACATGAAAATGTGGGTGTGCCAACTACATGTAAAATGTTAAATAATACCTCAATCTCTCCCATTGATCTAATACTATAAGTATCCCCAATACAGTCTAAGGATTGGTATGAGGAAAATAGAATCCATTTATTACCCTCATACACATGGAAAGTTTAGAGAACCTTCTCCTTACAATCCCTTAAAGTATAAAGTCAAAATGAATTTTAGGTTGGTGAATATCAGAATGCTCTTCATATGTTATTGAATCACCTACCACCAGGTAGCGCTAGTTCTCAACAATCGGTAGCAGACGACGGTAATAATATAGAGGAAGAGAAAACATCAGACACATCTTCTACTCACAGAGATGGTAAGTTTGTTCATATCCATAGCAAAGCCATACAAAATTTATAACATTCTTCGTGTGAAAACTTCATAAGCTGCTACCAATATATTGCTTTTGATTCCAGAACACAATATTTCTTGTCATTAGTTGTGATTGTTCATGATTGGTTGAGGATTTACTTCTCGGCCAATTAGCTTCCTGAATACAAATCACTGAAGGATAATGTTTGTATAACTAGACGAAAGATTTCCAGTGTCAAAATTACTTTATGATAATTGAGTCTTAAAGTTCAAGTCGGAGTTAATGGCAACTGACACTGCCCATGTTCATTAGTGCAATCAGGTGCAGAATTGTGGGAGGTAAAACTCTGTTTCATTTACTCACTGAGTATACCAGTTGAATTGTACTTTTAGCTATGAAATTTAAAGATGTAACAGCTATGGAGATAGAGGTTAAAGGGAAGAGTGTACCATTAAATGTTGTTTTACACCCTTATGCTATTTATATACCTGGCAAGACACTGGTTGGTAGTTCTGTTAAAAAGTCCTTTACAGTAAGTATTGTTTTGAGGACGGGCTATAGCCTAGAAAGATAGAGCGTTGGAATCTTCACACGTCATTTGCTTGGTTAGTACATTCAGGATGTGCTCTTATTATATAACTCTATGGCCATATCACAGTTGGTTAGAGCATGACATCATTTGCTTGGTAACCCAGCTGTAAATGGGTAAGGATAATCAAAGAAAGATCAATACCATGAGGTTTGGACAAGGACCATCTGGTAGAAAGGATCCTTATGAACCTAAGTTGTTATCCTTGTAAAATGATAGTTCTTTCTTTCTGTCTCTAGGAAATTTTAAGAAAATGTTTATTTATTTTAGATGGCAAATCATAGTTATTCCACCATCACATTTCAATTTGAACCACATATAGATGGTCATATAGTAGAAGTTGAACCACCTTGTGGAGATTTGGGTATGTAACTGCTGTTCATTTCTAAATCATCTTATCACTATCAAATAGATGTAATTACAAATTAAGTATTGTATGATGTAACAATGGCAAAAGCTTCTAATAATGTCTGAGGACTTTTGTGATAGTGATGTCATTAAACACTTAATTTTAGTGGAATTTAGACGTCTGATTGAAAATTGGAATGGTGCAAATCAATGCTATCAGTGTCTATGATACACATATAAAAATTGTTAATGATATGTTGTAGATCCTGGAATGAATCTTACATTGTTAATGATATGTTGTAGATCCTGGAATGAATCTTACATTGTTAATGATATGTTGTAGATCCTGGTATGAATCTTACATTGTTAATGATATGTTGTAGATCCTGGAATGAATCTTACATTGTTAATGATATGTTGTAGATCCTGGAATGAATCTTACATTGTTAATGATATGTTGTAGATTCTGGAATGAATCTTACATTGTTAATGATATGTTGTAGATCCTAGAATGAATCTTACATTGTTAATGATATGTTGTAGATCCTGGAATGAATCTTACATTGTTAATGATATGTTGTAGATCCTGGAATAAATCTTAGATACTAGAATGAATCTTACATTGTTAATGATATGTTGTAGATTCTAGAATGAATCTTACATTGTTAATGATATGTTGTAGATTCTAGAATGAATCTTACATTGTTAATGATATGTTGTAGATCCTGGAATGAATCTTACATTGTTAATGATATGTTGTAGATCCTGGAATGGCTATAGATCTAGAAATCAGTGTAACAGGAGTTAAACCAGGAAAATTAAATCATACTATTTACTGTCAAGTTCTTAATATGGATCAACCCTTGCCGTTACATGTAGAAGGTGAATTTAAGGTTAGTGTTCACTATAGATATTAGTGTTAAGAATGAAGAAGTTCCTAAAAACTTCTATGTAAAGCACTGGCCAAGGTCACAAATAAAGAGATAAATGTTTAATACAAGATAAGGTGAAGTTAGCATAGTTAGTATTAAGTTAAAAAAACAACCACGAGTAATCTACAATAAACAAAAGTCTATAATATGAAAGTTTTCTTGTTACCAGTTCTAAAAGAAAAGAGTATGAATAGGTTCTGAAAAGATAAACATCTATATATAAGGATTAGAATATATTATACTTAATGAGCTAGAAAATAGAGAGGTGGGTCAAGTATTATTGGATTCAATGGGATCGAGTCTACCACGGACCAGAAAATTACTAAGGTTTTTATTGCGCTTATAGGCAATTACAAATCGTTTGGTATATACATTCGGAATCTGTTCTGTAATTCACTGTAATACTGTTTGACGATGGATGAGGTTTTGGCAGCTATATGATTAAAGGTGGCAACAAATGGAATCATTTGATTATCATGCTGGATGTTAAATCCATTTGGAGCCACTGTTTGGAGTTGGTCCATCCAGTAGCTTTCTCTCTGTAATCGTTTGGTTTTTGGTTTGATAAGAGTCAGGAATTGATTCAATAGGCATGATAAGAAGGTCTTCAATGGAATGGTCAGGTAAATTAAAATGATGAGAAATTGGTCTATTTTTGCTATGAATTATATCAAAGCGATGGCCGTTAAATCGAGTTCGCAACGCGTTCTGGGTTCACCGACGTATTGTTTGTCACGAAATTAGGTAAATGATATTTTTATCCGTACACGTGAGATGTTCTTTAATTTCAAATATTTTTCCGTTTTTTTTATTTTGAAAATAATGAGACATATGGATATGGATACAGGTGCGACACCGAGAACCTCTACATGGTATTGCGCCAAAGTTATTTATTGGAGGAGGGGGTTCATTAATTTTCAAAAGGTCCAAAACGGTGTCATTTTTAATTAAGAATCGTTTGGAATAGCCCCTCTCTCTTAATTTACTGAAAACTAGTCTACAAGCTCCTTAATCCTTTTAGCAAGCCCCTTTACCCAAGTCTGTGATGGCTCAGATATAGAGGCTCAACAAATACGATTTTTAGCCTAAAACAGCAAAAAAAAATCTTTGGTTTTTGACAGTTTTGCCCCTCTCATCCCATTGAACCTCAATCTTTCTTAAAGTGCTTGTCAGTAACTTACTCCAGAAACCCTGTTAAAATACATAATAGTATCTAATTTATATATTCAGGGTCCTGAAATTAGTGTTGAAGAACCTGATGTGAATTTTGGTCTAATCCGTTTGGGGGAGACTTCAGTAAGGGAGATCACTCTGAATAATTTATCACAGATGCCGACTAAATGGAAAATAAATGATTTTATAACATCACCTACATCTTCAGAAGACTCTATGGTATGTTTGATATTGTTTATTATTTATTGTAATAGAATTGATACTGTCTAATCAGAGGTTTTCAATGAGGATGAAATGAATTATAATTCACATGGTAATGAGATCAAGTCAGTGATAATGAGATCAAGTCAGTGATACCCAAAACTGGAAACACAATATCAACTTTTTGAGAACAGTTGTCTTAGCCTCTCGCCCCATGATTAGAACCAACTGGCTGACCTACTGTGGCGGCTACCAGCAGACTGAGGGTTAGGACCATCAGAATTGTGAGTAGGTACAGAAAAGTAGGATGTAAAACTCCATTTCATTTCATTACAGAATAGTGAAGAGGTTCAGTTTTATCCTACCCATGGTGAGCTGAAACCGTTGGAGCGAAGTAAAGTTACAATAACTTTTAAACCAACTCAGATATCAACTGTTCATAGAGTATTTGAAGTTGAGGTGGAAGATGGTGAGAAATGGTCAGTATTTATAAACTCATCATAACATTTTACAGACCTAGAATCTCCTCAAAACTGAGAGGAATTCCGATGAACACTTACGATTGCTGTACTAATCATCCCCCTCCCTTGTGAATCCAATTCATTTAGTCAGCATTTTTGGGCAGTTACCTGCAGGTGTCATGAATTTTTATTGTATGATGGACCTACAATGTTCAATGTTCCCCAAAAGAAAAGCCACAAGTAGTAGACCTTCTATTGAATGATTGACACAGTCATCACATGGCCAATGTGGAATGTGGGTAAACTTGCATGAAAGTACAGTGGATCGAACATTTCCAGGAATGCTTCATAATTTTCGAAAATGAATATAAAATAAGTTGTCATGGATTTGGAGGTTTTCATATTGAAAATATATAATCCATACACTACAAAATGGTTTATTAGTAATTTATCTTTAGCTTAATAGAAGGGATTCTAAATTTTGGTTTTCAAGTCTTTTTATCGGCAACACTGCACTGAATTGCACGATTTCAATTTTCAATCAGACGTCTGTCTTTTCAGTAATTGTAAACTTCCTGTCAAGAATATCACTAGACTAATCATAAATGCCAAAAGGGCGAATAGAGTTTTTATAATTTCATACAGAAACTTCTTTACAATCCCTAACTTATAACCTTTAGATATCTGTGAATCTTACTATTCCACTAAACTAAGAATTGAATGAAGTCACTATTGTATAATCTTGTGATAGATAAATCATAAAACTATTAGTATTGCAAGAACCACAGATGTCTGACTGAAAATTGGAATGGTAAAATGGAAGCTATCAATGTCCTGTACATAACATTCAGAAAATCTCTTTACAACTTCTGTAGTTTATAAACATTAGATTGTTTTTATTAATATATAGTTCTGTGGGTGGATATGGAGAAGTTCAGAGTCCAGCTGTATGTTTTAAACAGTCTGAAATTAAACCACAAGATGTTTATGTTGGGGTACCAGTACTCTGTCAGGCTGTGTTACATAATCAAACTTTAATGTCTACTCAGTTTGATTGGGAAAAGGTTTGTTAGAATTTTTATTATAGATAGATTCTAGAATATTTATTACTGTCAATCTTTATGGATGACTTCGATTGGAGCCGGGGTTAGACTCAAGTCACAACCGAACTGTAATATTTTCTAGGGTTGAAACTCCTGCCAAAAGTCCTTGACCACAGAGGTTCAATCAAAGTCACCCATAGTGAATGAATTATGATCACGTGCCAAACTGAATAAAGGATGAAGTTTATGTATGTTTGTCACGTGATCCATTTCATTAACACAGGAATAATACTAGAGAGACCAATGTTTAATTTTTATATTTATACAAGTTACAACTGGTCATTGAAGGGTTTGATAATAGAAATGTAAATATTTATCTATAACTTGTGTTTCTAATATTCCATTGAAAGCTAAGTTTCTATATTATATAATTCTCACTATGTCAGTTTGTACTATTGACTTCTGAGAATCTTCCAATTAATACCTGACATCTTGTTCTCTACAATTCTAAAAAAAAACAAGTTAACTTTCCAGTGACCTTATATCAATGGTTATATATGCACATAAAATATTGAAAGTGACTTAATCTTGATTTTAAAAAATGATAAGGATTGGTGAAATTGAACTCAATCAGCTGGGAAAGCAAGGATTTTGTTGTTTATATCTTCTTGAAAGAAATATTATTTAAACAAAGTATATTTATCAATGATTTGTTGAAATTTATAAAGTTTTTAAACATGAGCAATCATATTTAACTGTTAACTGTTTATTGTCTAGCACAGAAACATAGTGGACTGGAAGTAGGTATTGAAATAAAGTCATCATATTTTATTGTTATAATATGTTTTTGCAGCCAAATGGTGTGGACAGTGAAAACTGCAGTATTGAAATAGACCCAATATCAGGAACCATGGCACCAAAAGAAGAAAGAGTTGTTACTATAAGCTTTGTTGCAAGTCAAGTTGTAAGTTTTGATTTCTTCTCTCACTATATGTGTACAGTCTGTGTTGCTTTATTAATTCCAAAAAGAAAAAAGGGAGCTTTAGTTAATTTACAAGAGAAACCCTGACTTGTGACTTATTGTTAATAGTTTGAAGATGTGAAAAGTAAACACTGTCCAGATCTCACACTGAACAATTTCAGTCAGGAATTTCAGGAGAGATGAATACCAAGTGGTTAGGCCAGGTACCAGTACCAAGATTCTTGTGTACCTAAAAATGGTTGTTTCTTTCTCTATTTTTACATGCCCTCTAAGATGAGAGTCCACATCCACCATTTTTTTTGATACATTCAAGCTACTGATGTCATGTAGAGATTTAACTGACTGTCCTCGTATTCAATCTAATAAATGATTTTTTAGGGAAAAGTAAATGATTTGAAGATACCATGTGTTATCGAAGGAATGGATGAACCATTATGTTTAAGTTTGTCCTGTGAAGTCCTGGGTTTATCTGTCACCTGTAAAACTTCAGATAGTCAAGGAAACATCAGGTAATAACAAAGTCTTTTTCATTTACAGTGAAAATTAGACCTGGCATCTTTACAATTTCACCTGTTCAACTGGTTAGGTGCAGAAAACTTAAATGTTTTTTGAGAATTCTATGTAGATATTTTTGACTGGAAAAAATGTGGTCTAAATCAGCTTTCATTTCAATATTCTAACTACAGTTTCAATTGACTGTATTGTCTAATCTCTCTTAAGATCTCATGTGAGAACATTCCACAGTTCAGCCCTGAAAGTGCCAGTGACCATGTTGTATATGTACATGTATTAACTGGCGTTCCTCTTTCACGGTGATCCCTGAGGTTACACAGCGCTGTACAAAGATTGTACTTGTTTTAAGGTTGATGTTGTATTTTTCAGTGAAGAGCTGAAGGTTGATTTTGGTAATGAAGTTCAGCTGGGTTCTACTCCAAGGATGTATCTGTATATATGTAATCAGACAGCTATCCCAGCCAGCTATTCTATAACTGTTGAAAATTTCCCTGTCAGACCCCCTTCTCCACCACAACAAAAACTAGATTCTACTGGTACTAGGTAAGAACCCTCTTCTCCACCATAACAAAAACTAGATTCTACTGGTACTAGGTAAGAACCCTCTTCTCCACCANCACAAAAACTAGATTCTACTGGTACTAGGTAAGAACCCTCTTCTCCACCATAACAAAAACTAGATTCTACTGGTACTAGG